CTCCTCAGACCAAATAGGAAGTAACCATATTTCCGGTTGGCTGATTGCTTTGTACCGAATTGCATTCTCAGTACTTGGAAATACGATTTCCTTGGGTTCCTCTTTCTTTCTCTATCTATCTATCTATCTATTTATCTATATATCTCACTTATTCAAAAACCAGTTTTGAATACGAATTCATTACCTGAGTATTTTTATAAAATTGAATGGAATTACTTGAAAATCTTAGATAAATTAAAATATTTCATTGAATTTATCAATATATCTATTTTACGTAACTCTTCAAGTATCTGTCAATTAATATAAATTGTCAAAGCTTCAATGTGAATTATTTGACGAGACATTTTTTTTTTTTTTTTTTTTTTTTTTTTTTAATTTAAATATAATTAGAAAAATATTCGAAAAGAAAAAGAGAACAAATTTCATTCAGCCAACGTGCAAGGTGATATGATTCTAGAAAACTTGTTTCAATTTATGTGAGTTGGCATACTCGAAGAGTACGAACACGTAGGACATGTCAAATAAATCTCGACTGAGAACAATGCGGTGACAAGAATGAAACATTGTTCCGGTTAGCCTTTTAGGAGAAATCCAAGCTGAAACAGAGTACGTACGTTGGGGTAATAAAATCCTATGAATAAGAGAAGGCCAAACAGTTGGAAACGATGTGGTCAAAAATTTAAAGAAGAAGTATTTATATTTTCTCAATTTATTTCTTTTACATTCCTATCAATTTTATTTTATTTTTATTATTTTTTTTCATTTATTTTTATCATCTCTCATTATGAGATAAAACTAATCTTTATATTTTATAAATAAATCGAAAAATATCAAATTTAATTATTCATATTACTATGTATCTTCTAATGAGATTAAAATGAATACTAAATAATATATATATATATATATATATATATATATATATATATATATATATATAAAAGATTCTTAATTTTCTCGATTATTATTCAGGAAAGATAGGAAAGATGAAGATGAAAGTTTTAAACAGTAAAAAAAGAGCACGTATGTGTATATGTAAATGTATGTAAGCGTATATGTGTGTGTATTGAAGGTAGTTTAAACGTTCAACCGGAGTAAAAAGTTTATCTAAGTCTCATGACGCTAAGTCCTTTTGACGCAGTTTTGCCTCAAGGCTACCTCTACTCGTACCTTCACTCGAAAATCGACCAAATGAACGCCCTTTCATCCATCCAAAATATCTAATAACATTTTAACATAATCCAATGTCATATAATCTCGTATAAAAACATTCCCCAATATTATTTTCTCTAAATTCTAAAATCTTACATATCTCTCGCTATTATTTCTATGAAATAATTATAAATATAATATTTGAAATAATTATAAACCTTTTCGTATTAACATTTATCAATCGAAATGTAAGCAGAATCAGCGTCAAAAGTATCTAGTCTCTTGTAGTCTTCTACACTACAAAAAAAAAAAAAAGCAAAAAAAAAAAAAAAATAAATAAATAAATAAATAAATAAAATTAGCCTAAAAACTCTCGAGAAAGAGTAAAAATTGATTCTTTGAAATTGGCTAAGAATATTTATTCTTTTTTCTTTTTCTTTTTTTAGACTATAAATATACCGTTTAATAAATTGTTCATTGACACTAAAAAAAGAAAAAAGAAAAAAGAAAAAAGAAAAAAAAGAAAAAAAAGAAAAAAAAAGAAAAAAAAAAGAAAGGAGAAAAGAAAAGAAAAAAAAAACAGATTGATACGAAACATATAGATTAGAATGATAGGTCAAAGGTTAAAATTGAGCTATTATAGAATGAGCAAGGGGAATACATCGAAAATAGTCGGACTGATATCAGCAGGGCTGACGTGAGAAGTTGAAGGAAAGAGAAACGGGTGATATAGAGACAGGGTCACCGCACCACTCTGCCGCACGATTCCCACAATCCTCTCCTCTTTCTCTCTCTGTCTCTCTCTCTGTTTGTCTCTCTCTCTCTGTCTCTCTCTCTCTCTCTCTTTCTCTTTCTCTTTCCACCGCCCTCATCGATCACCGGCTATTTTCAGATGGCAGAAACACATTCAACCATTAATTGCTTTATTTTCAACGGCCATCGTCCCACCGCAACGCTACGTTAAGTTACGTTACGTTACATTATGTTACATTACGTTTTACGTGCCCTTGACGACACGCTTAACTATAATGATTACCATGTTTAATAACATTACGTTATTACTTACAACATCTTCAATAGTTCACGTAACATATTTCATTTATTATTGTTAAACAAGAGAGAAATTTTTTTCTTCTCATTGATCAATCATTTTTATTATTTAATTCAAGAATAAATTTGATAAACTTGATGATTCTAACTATTATATATCATTATAAGGTTAAAATATCTATAGAAACTCGTTGAGAAACGAATAATTGATTATTTAAATTTTTTTTTTTTTTTTTTTTTTTTTTGTTAATTTAATTTAAAATTCTTTTCATTTGATTTTAATAATTCATTCGTTCGTTCGTTCATTCCTTCGTGCAAAAATTTCGTACCTTTTCAAAAATTTCCTTCCGTTCGATCGTTTGGGAAATAGATAAAGGAGATAAGCCTTAAATAGAAATTGAGAAATAATAATAAAAAAAAAAAAAAAAAAAAGAAAGGAACAAAAATCAGGGAAAAAAAACGTAGAAATAAAGAAAAATCTTTTCAAAGATTTTCACGGAAAAATTGAAAGAGAAAGTAAAAAAGTAAGAAAAGAAAATAAAGCTTAAAAAATTAAATCAACAACGAATTTTATACTAATGTCTATCGATAAATGTCAATCGAATTAAAACGAACCAATTTTCTTTTCAATTAATTCAACGATTCCAAGATCAATATCAATTAAAAAGGAAGGATTCAGTGTTTACATTCGTTTTTCCTTCATTGATACTCAAAGCTTTATACAATGGATCTCGAATAAATATTTTATTTTGATTATTTAGAGACGACGAAAAGATCTTGAGAGATACTTCACTACCCCTTTTCACTATGTTTCTCGCATTAAAACACATGTACGTGTAGGAAGTAAGAGAAGATCAATTGTTCGAGTAGATACTTATTGTTAGATATATATATATATATATATATATATATATATATATATATATATTACGTTTCGAGACGATACCTAACTCGAAAGTGTACTTAAGTGTCTGCACGTAAAGAAGAGTTTTATGAGATCCGACATTCCCCCTCCCTCCCTCCGTCCTTTAACTTAACTTTCAACATCGTTTTCTTACGATGTTGAAAGTTAACGATTACGATTAATAGCTTTTTATAACGTATCCTCATGTTTTTATAAATTCAATAAAATCGATTCTATTTCACTCATATCACATATATCGTAGCAATGAGTGTGATCATTTAGGAAAAAAGAAAAAAGTTGGAAAAAACAAATAGAGAAAGACATAGATAAAGGCATGTCAAAAATGACAGGACCAATCGGTGAGTTATCTCGTATTGAAACGATCGAGTATCATGGTCCAGTTTTATAATTGAATTCCTCACGAGACACACTGGAACGTAATCGTTGAATTTATACGCATATCGATTCTATATTTTAATTTTTAGATTTTATTCATTTAATGCGACGAAATTAATCGCGAAAGTATAGACAATAATAAGGAGTGTAAAAGAAAATAGAAAAGAAAAATGATAGAGAAAAAGAAAAATCACAAAAAAAAAGAAAAAAAAAGAAAAAAAAAAAAAAGAAAGATCTTAATAGATCTATTTAATTTATTTAATGGAATGAAATTAATCGTGAAAAATAGCCAATAATACAATGGAACTTTCAAAGATCCTTATAGCGAGTTATTTAACTTTTCTCTTAGATGAATTGAAATTAATCGTGAAAGTGACAACGTAGAAACTATTTAATTATTCTTTGGTAAATACGATAATTCTAAGCAAACAGATAATAATGATTCACACGGGAAACTAACTAAATCCTATCTCCGGCTTAACGATATTTATTTTTCTTCTTTAAATGAAACTAATGAAATTGATTGTTAAAGGGAAAAAAAAACACAAAAAAAAAAAAACAAAAAAAAAAACAAAGGAATCCCTCAGTCTATCAATACTATTGAACTTCTTTCATGAGAAACAATGAAATGAATTGTATAGGAATAATCAAACTTAGGAAAAAAAAAAAAAAAAAAAAGAAAAAAAATGAAAGAAAGAAAAGTGTGATGGACTGATGCTATTAACGGTACTACTAATAGATCTTCATAATTTATGTTTTAGGTCAAACAGTAGAAGCTCTTCGGAAAATTGCGAACGTGACAAAATGCTTTGAAGGACTTCACGGAAGAAAAAGGAACGTTTTCGCCATTGAAGTTCTTAATATTGTCGTCGAAGAGGAAAAAGTTCTCTCTCTCTCTCTCTCTCTCTCTTTTTCTTTCTTTCTCTCCTTCTCTCTTTCTCTTTCTCTCTCTCTCTCTCTCTCTCTCTCTCTCTCTCTTTTTCTCTCACACTATTTTATTCTCTCTTCTTTTCTTTTTTTTTTTCTAAGATTTATCCTTCAAGAACTAAAGTTCATCTTCGAATTCCTATCAAGCAGATCGTCTGACATAATATCCGTCCGTATTCTTCTGCCATTAATCGTCAGCTGAATGTGTCCGATTTACGAATCCTACTAGCTTTCCTTCTTAAAGTAATCTATCAGTGAAACCTTCCTAGAAGAAAACTTTACTTCTTCTCTTTCACGTGAATTTCTAAGGACACGTGAGACATTACTGTTTTTCTCCCTGAAACGAAACTTTTTCACAAGAGAGACAAGTGTATCTTATTGAGAGAAAGAAAAAAGAGAGAGAGAGAGAGAGAGAGAGAGAGGAAAAAAAAAGAGAGAAGAAGAAACGAACGAATACGAAGATAAGTTCTGAAAAAAAAAAGAAAGAGAGATAGAGAAAGATTTAAAAGTATCGAGAAAGAAGAAGACTTTCGAAATTCATTTAATTGATCTCTATTCGATGAACGAAAAACAAATTTGAAAAGATCCGTCAATAACGAAATAATAGAAACAACATTTTTTGAATTGACGACGAAGACGACGACAACGACGAGACATTTCTTTTTTCTTTCCAAAAAGATAATTTTTCTATTTGCATCCCTCTCTTACCAAGAAAGTATAGACTGACATTGAGTTATATAGAAATAAAAGAAAATGAAAGTTCACCGGAAGTTGATATGATATAAAAAGGAGAATCCATTAGAGCACCCTATTTGGTTTATGCTCTAAGGGCAAGAAGAAAAATTATCGTTGTTGATGTAAGCGCCAAGACCAAAGGAAGAATAAATATTCTACGGTTTCTTCGATCGATAGGATTATAATTATCGATCATTCTCGTTGATTAAATATCATTGATCCTTTTATATATATATATATATATATATATATATATATATATTTTATGAATATATATATATTTTTTTTATGAATATATATATATATATATATATATATATATATATATATATATATATATATTCATAAAAATCTAGGCTCCAAAGTATATTTTTCTTTTTTTATATGTATATTATCTTTTTTTTTTTTTTTGCAAATTTTTCCTTAAATAAAAATTACGTCTATATATACAAAAGTTATAATGATAGTTTATGATGTGATGAGGTAAGGCAGGAAGAAAAGTTTCGTTCTCATTAAAATTGAACGATCGATCGAAGAAAAAAAATTCATAGAAAAAATTTTTAATATCCTTTTGACGATAGGGACTAAGGTAATGTAAGGAAAAAAAAAAAAAAAAGAAAGAAAGAAAAGAAAGAGATTAAAAAAAGAAGAAAAAAAAAAAAAGAAAAGGTGAAAGTGAATAATTCGATTAGGTCCATCTTTTCAAAAGTAACATTAATCTGTGGGAACAATACCGATGGAGCAAACTCGACGAATCGAGACGAGAACAGCTGGCTATTAAAGGGTAGTCGTGCATGAAACGGAAGTGTAGAAGAAAGGGAAAAAGGACGGCCTGTTTTGGCTTATAATCAGAGAATCGATATAGTGACTCACCAGATCGTATTTAATATCATCGACACGGAACTAATGAAACGAGATTTGCATTTTTAAAAAAAAAAAGAAAAAAAAAAATTCAAGAAAGAATTCAAAAGTGCAAATGTGTCTCTTCTCTTTTTCTTCTTTGTTGAATTTGTTTAAAAAAAAAAAAAAAAAAAAAAACCAACAACAACAAGTGTAGTGCTATAAAAATAATTCAATGTATGGCTCATGGATTGTACAGCCCATCGAAAATAATTTAAGATAATAGCCATAATTCTTTTTCTTTCTCTTTTGTACATTTTTAAAGAAGTAAGAATACCATGAACGAATTTCGATCGATAAAAAAATCATAATAATTGATTATTATTTTCTTTCATTATTAATAATGTTAACCGAAGATATTCTTTACATTGATTCGTACAATTTAAAATCATGGCGTCTATCAGTGAAAACGTCGTTGGAATTGTGATTAGTAAAAATCAAAGTATAGTGTCTTGTGATATAATAATCATTACAAGAGACATCGTAAAAATCGATTGATCGTTTATTATGTAAATGATTTATAAGTGATAAAAAGTGGGAACGTTCGTTCTAAATAATATTTTTTCCGTCATTTGTTCGATGATAAAAAAGAAAAAAAAGAAAAAAAAGAAAGAAAGAAATCATGTGAACTGTTCGAATAAAGTATAGCGGGGAAAAAACTCAGATTTTTTTTCTACCAATCCAATCGAGTTCCTAAGAACGAAGCTGATCAAAGTAAATCGTTAACATCGAAGATATATAAGATAGTCGAGTGGTATACACGGTGGGAAAAAAAAAATAAAAAGGGAAGAAAGAAGGAGAAAATAAAAAGCAAGAATAAAGAATAGTGAAAAAGAAAAAGTCATGATGCAGTCCTTGGAAAATTCTTTCGATTCCATAAACAATTATCGTTGGAACACGTCGTTATTATGGTTCGACAATTACACCTTCGATAACTTGGTATATAACGATACAAACTCGACTGATCTCGAGTCGAGAAATCAATTCATACTGCCATGGTGGAGACAGATGATATGGAGCTTGCTATTTGCCGGTATGATCATTGTTGCTACCGGTGGAAATCTAATAGTGATATGGATTGTCCTTGCGCACAAGAGGATGCGTACAGTAACCAATTACTTCTTGGTCAATCTCAGTATAGCAGATGCCATGGTGTCAACGTTGAACGTTACATTTAATTACATTTACATGCTCAACAGTCATTGGCCATTTGGTACTCTTTACTGTAAGATTTGCCAGTTCATCGCGGTACTCACTATTTGTGCGAGTGTCTTCACTTTAATGGCTATCTCGATCGATCGGTAAGTCCTTGTTATATATTTTTTATTTAACAAATAATTTTCTATATATGTGCGTTTAGATATGCGTATATGCATCCAAGTATATTTAAATTCGCTGACTATGACAAATTCGTGGAGTATGACAAATTGTTACTGAGTTAGCAGGAAAATTTCAATGGTATAATATAAATCTCTCGGTGCGTTACGCCCTGTCAAGTTTGATAATTAATATCTTTTTTTCTTTTCTTTTCTTTTTCTTTTTTATTTTTTTTATTTTTTTTATTTTTTTTTTTTTTTTCGTAACATCTTGTATCCTTCATTTCTTGGCCAAGTTCTGCACTATTTTCGTTACGTATATGCAACAACCTTGTGCTTTTTTAACCTAAAGTCTCTAAGATCGATGAGAAAACACATTTTCTTTCTGTATGCGTATGCGCGCGCGCGTGTGTGCGTGTGTGTGCGTGCTTGCACGTCTTCGGGAGAATTTAAGTGCTAAAATTGGACTTGTTTTGTTAGGTTGGTAGTTACGTCAAACTATATGGGTTGTATTCGTGTTAACAGAAGGGATCAATCGGATAACACGAAAGAGATAACTAGAATTGAAGGAAGGAAGAGGGTGGGATCGAGGAGAAGAGGTTAATGGGAAAAGAATGAGAAAAGAAAAAAAGGAAAGGAAATAGGAAGAAAAAGAAAAATAAACTGGAAAGATAATAATTTTAGAAATAGATATAGATAAAAATAAACATGCAAAATTAACTAGAAAGAGATAGAAATAGATAGGTAGATAGATAAATAGATAGATAGATAGAGAGAGAGAGAGAAAGAGAGAGAGAGAGAGAGAGAGAGAGAGAGAGAGAGAGAGAGAGAGAAAGAGAGTAAAAGAGAAATGATGAAACATATCGAAACTGGAAATTATCCGAATGAAATTATTATCAGCGTGGGTGTTATCGAAGTATCAGGAAACATCTGGTAGAGCTTTTACGATCCCAATGGGTGGTCCTTTGCCTGGAAGAAACAGACTGAGAAATCGAGCTTCCTAGCTCTATTTATCCGTATTATACCAATGGCTCTCGTATTTGCTCCATTTTAGGAGGGATATACTCGAAAGGTTCTTCTGCTTCTACTTCTTCTTCTTCTTCTTCTTCTTCTTCTTCTTCTTCTTCATTTTTTTTCTTCTTCTTATTCTTATACTACTTCTACTTCCACTTCTTACAAGCCGAGAACGGTATTAGACGTTCTATCGATTTCTCCATCTCCCTTAGGAAAAATATCTTAGATATATTTCTAAGATAGGTAAAAATACAAATTTGGATCACGACTTCCTAATAAAGATTCTTCTTCACAACTTCTCACCAAATTAAACTAATACTTGTGTTATATATATATATATATATATATATATATATATATATATATATATATTAGAGGGACCGGAAAGTAATGTCGTTTCTGCGCATATCAATATTTGATTGTGATTAAAAATAAAAACTTATTAAAAATTTTTATTCGTTTGAATTTAATTTAAGAAAGCGACATTACATTTCGGTCCATCTAATATATGTATGTATGTAAGTATATATAATATAAATATATATATATATATATATATTTATATATATATATATACGTACATACATACGTTCAAGTTATAGAATATAAATTGGATATTAATTATCATATTTTAATGATTAATTAACTAAACATTTTCATAATTTCGATAAATGATATTTCAAAAATTAATATTCAAAATTATTCCCCATTATTCTCATTCACTTTGATAATATAGTTTCAAAAATAAAGAGTTAGATCGTAGAAAAGTAGAAAAAGCTATTGCAACGTCTATTTTATAATGGCTTTTTTTTTCTTTTTTTTTTTTTTATTTCGTATATAAGAAAGAAACGGACAATGTCTCGTGGGAGATTTAAAAAGAAAGGAATAAAAGAAACGAATAAAAGAAACGAAAAGACGACGAAAACTAAACTTTAAACGTTTCTCGACTCATTCTTACATTAGACGAAAAGCTTAAAATAAAAAGTCACTTCAATTTTTCTCTCGGTTAAAAAGAAAATTGCCTTGGCTAACAACGCATAAGCCAAAGATACTCAAAATTATTCTTCGAGGTGGCATGCATAATTCAAGGATCCTTTTTCTCGACTAAATATTGAACCTTTAATTCGATGAAATAATAATTCTACCCTCGAACTGAGTGAGACAGAGAGAGAGAGAGAGAGAGAGAGAGAGAGAAAAGGAAGGAAGGAAGGAAGGAAGGAAGGAAGGAAGGAAGGAAGGAAGGAAGGAAGGAAGGAAAAGGACTATCAGCGAGAAGGAATTATTATCTTCCTATCTTATATACGTGGAAAGAATCCGATAGAAGCGATCAATGTGAAATTTAGCTGAGTATGAGAAAAGAATTTTCTTCGTTTCCATTTGATCTCTTCTCCCAACTTGTTCTCTTAACTAGCATTTTCTTCTTTATTCTTTTTCCTTTTTTCCTTTTTTTTATTCTATTCATTCTTTGTTCTCTTTCCCTCTCTCTCTCTCTCTCTCTCTCTCTCTCTCTCTCTCTCTCTTTCTCTCTCTCTCTCTCTCTCTCTCTCTCTCTCCTTGTCTATAATAAAAGCATCAACGACAAAAAAAAAAAATATATATATATTTCATTTGTTATATTCGTTCGAACTGTTGGATCATGAAATTTTCTTTTTTTAATGGAAATCTCTTAATTTCGAGGATGAAAATTGTAATAAAAAGAAAAAAAAAAAGAAAAAAAAAAAAAAAAAAGAAAAGATAAGAACAAACGAAAAGACTTTTTCCATCAAAAATGCATTTTCGTCCGTATCAGTTAATCGATTATATTATCAAAGACGTAAAAAAATTCGAAGAATAATTTTTTCCCAACATTTTATCTGATTCTAGAGAAACTGAATCGACTCAGGTAACGATCGAGCTCATTAATTTACAATAAAGTTTTACGTTATAGGCGAACATCGTAATAGATTATTCGACGTAACCTTTAATTATTTCAGCACGTAAATCGCTCGAACAAGTTTGAATTTTCTTTCTTAAGTTTCTTACAAAAGTGAAACGTTGATTTTAAAGAAAATTTCAAATTCGTTAAGATGAAAAAATAAAAAGAAAAAAGAAAGAAAATAGGAAGAAAGCGAGAAAGAATTTTGGATGATGAATGATTTAACAATGTTACCACACAGTTATATATATATATATATATATATATATATATATATATATATATATATATATATATAACTTAATGTACGAAAAATCATGTTCACGTATGCGTGAGCTTATTGTTGTTAGTAAAATGACATTTTGGAAGGATGTAACCATGAATACGAGAATGATACTTCCCTGGTATGTCACATACATACCTGCATAACATTAAATATAAGCGAGAGTAATAGAGAAATAATATACAATGAAGTAAAATTTCTAAAGATATTCGAGAAATGAAATTATTTTACGAGTAATCTGAGAGTAGTTTGAAAATTATGAAAATGAAAAAAATAACTATGATAAATAATATAAATTATCCAATTTAGGAAACAATAAATGAAAATAATTTATAATACAAATCAAAGGAATTATATTTAATAATTTCTTATTATTATTACAAAAAAAAAAAAGAAGAAGAATAACGCCCGAATAAAAGCAACGTTTTATACAGAGTCGATAATGTTGCTTGCAAGCGCCATCTATCAGTGAAGAACATCTGTTTGATCCCTCTTATTATGCAACACCGTCATACAATTTCGAAAAACGTGATTGCATACTATGAGGGATAAATAAGTTAATGATATAGATGACGCTCATAAGCAATATTATCGACGATGTATAGAAGGAAACATATCTTTAGGTGCAATAATTAATAAAAACAATTTATGATATATTTGCATTCGAAGAAAAATCTACGGAGAGTTACGATTAAAGAGAAAATATTTGATAAGATATCGATTTAATACGACTACATAAAAAAGAATCCAATCGAGAGAAGAAGGTCCTCACAATCGTAGAATAAAGTTAAGAGCTTGAAGAAGATAAACTTGCCGATCATTGTTCAGAAAGGGATGAGAGAGGAAAAAATCGAAAAAAAAAAAAAAATTTCTCGATCAAGTAAAAGCTGGAATTATACGGGATCTTCTTTTACATCCTACCATCCCAACTGAAGTATTTCGCTTCGCTAAACGAGATTACAATTTAGTATTGAATTTTTTTTTAAACGACGAAAATGTCTCATGGATCTTCTCGAACAAAAAAGAAAAAAAAAAAAAATAAATAAAGAAACGATTGGTTGGTAGTTTGTATTAAAAAATAAAAAAAAAATAAAACAAAAAGAAAGAAAGAAAGAAAATAGAAAAAAAAAACTTTAAGAAAGAACCCATTTCAATATTTTCTAAAGAACGAAAAAGCACACTGAAATTTACATTGCATTTAATAGTATTTTCAACTGCCTTAAAAAACTTTTCTTACTTTTCTACAGACTTTCCTTGTCCTCAATAATCAAATAGACTACCTGTTGAAATATAAACGTGAAAACACTTAAGATTTGGATTAAATTATATTTTTTTCCTTTTTTTTTTTTTTTTTTTTTACATTTTTACATACATTTTGTATTACAAATTTCTTTCAAAGAAAACTTTAACTCGGATAAAAATTAAAAACCAAGTTTCTATTGAAAAATATATACGCATTATTTATACAATATATAAATGTAATGTTAAAACTGTCGATAAAATAAATTTTTCATCAATGCAATAACGAATAAAAAAAAAAAAAAAAATCAACGAATATTTCATCGAAAATGAAAAGCAATAATTATAAGTTAAAAATGAAATTTTCATTTAGAAAGACCCCAAAGATATAATACTATATATATTATGTGTGTATATATATATATATATATATATATATATATAAAAGAAAAGATCAAATAGAGTATTGATAAAGGTAATACAAATATATGGGTGCAACGCAAATTTTAATCAAAATGCCTATGGCATAGTCTA